TTGTCACGAAGTTCTTAATGCTCAGAATACTGTAAGTTTGGGACGGGCTCAAAGCAATACAATGCTGCAACTACAGCTGTTGCAAAAAAATCTCAAATCCTAGTATCAATAAAGGAGGGAGGGTGGCGCATGCTGATCAGCAGATATGGTAGTGATCACAAAGTGAATCGCTCCTGTCTGAAGGACAGCAAAATACAATTTTTGGCAGCTCGGGAAATAAAAATTAGTCTGGACCTTCAACAACAAAAATATATTTAAAAATAATAATAAGGGTTGTATAGATCTAAGTTATAAATAAAAAGTGCTTTTGCTCCTACCGTCTACAAGCCTGTTCAGCATTTTGTCAAGATGCTACCAATTGGGCCCTGCAAAATTTCGTGAGGCATCTTACAGATCAGCTTGTTCTATGGCTTCTAATTTTCCAGATCTTTGAATTTATTCCTTACTTATATATCACTTACCTAGCTCACAAAAATCTTTTTATTTAAGCGTTATTATATCCTGTATCTGATCTTAAATATCTAGGCCTTTAATAAAGCTAAAACGTGTTTTTAGTTCATACTTGTTGCTTGCCCGAAGTCTGGTTACTTAGATTAAAAACACAATAACACCAATGTTTGGACAAAGCTACATGTCAATGTAGTTGAAGATTGAACGATCAATTCATGGTTGTTTGCTCAAACCCAACTCCTCCATATTTTTCGCGGGAGTCACCAATACGGCAGTCATCGTCTCATCGTTCGCTGTTCAGTGGAAGATAAAAAACTATCAGAAACCTTGTGTGTAATAACCTTATTGTTGGTTACATATTGGCATAAGAATAAAGGATTCTCGAGTCGCCAATCCGTGTTCTGGTCTTTTCGAGTTGGTTAATACAAAGTGTTTCAGAAAGTCTTCCAGGGACAGAGTGAGGACATCGACAGTTTATGAGAGTTGGCTGACACTGCATCTTCATCTAAAACATCATATTTTGCATGCTTAGACTAATATGGTTAGCAAATGTATGCTATTATTTTAAGTTCTATTTAGCTTCGTCTTGTTGTATTTATCCTGTATATTTACTTCCAATAACTTACTATTCATAACTGCATTTGATACCATTTTGCAGCTGCGCGGAATTTTCTTCGCTTCCTGCAACAGCGTTCAATCACGTGGCGGCATGGCACTCACCCAGGTATATGCTGTTCACTGGTTCACCATAACTTTCAGGAAGAAACGGAACGAAGTTTGGGTAGTCGCTTAATTTTGATGGTGACACTTGTAAATGGTTTTAACAATTTAACATTTAAAAGAACCCGTTCCGATTGCTTGTACAATAATTGAACAAATGAAACTTTAAAAAAGTATTAATTTATGATACTTCAGGATTTTAATTTATAATATTACTGATCTTGCCTGTAAAAATGGCATGCATTTCTTGTAAACTTACCCATTTATACGAAATATAAGTTATTATTATCAAAGCCGAGAGACCAGTTATGATTGGTTGACATCGTTTTGTTTTCCTAAGATATGAATAATAACGCTGTTTATGTTAAGATCACTTTAGTCAGCAGATAAGGCGCTATTAGGAATATTCCATCATTAAATTTTCCGAGGACAGGAACTGTAAAAAGCCTCACTTAAAAGATTTTTATCCCTATTAAACTATTTAGCACTGACTTCATGTCAAAAGAAATGCGGCAGGCCAAAATGACCATAGGCATGAAATTAGTCTAATCGTTGCGTCCTACGTTCGTCAAACATTCCACAGGACAAGAGGACAGTTCGTGAAGGTGCCAGCTTTAGAGGCCATCAGCCCACAGAAGATGAAGCTGGCGCTGCTACCAGAAGACCGATCCCAGCCACCCGGAGTAGTATGTACAGTTATTGACTCAGGAATATCAGAAGATGGACTGGCAGTTCAAAGGTTTATTTTCCCATTGGCAATAAACGAGCGCTAAAGGGTTCTACAGTACGAAGTCTATGAATAAGCATCAGTTTAAAACACAACACTACCTCTGATCGTTCCGCTGTGGTCTTCTGTCCAGCTGAAAAAATCTAGACTACGGCCGCTAACGTTGCCTGTCGAAAAAACAGGTACTGTCGAGTAGAGAAACCTATTATCGCTCATTGATTTGATGATGTTAGATGGTTGGAGGCAATCAGCAGGAATCCTTGGACCTAGCTTTCGTGCTAGCTGGCATTCTTCAGCGAGGCATACCTGCAAACTTGGAGGAACTAATGTCTCTTCTGAGATTTTGTCAGTCTGCACCAAGAAAGGGACTAGACACACTAGACTAATTGCTTATATCCAATCAGTTATCGCTTATTCAAACTTCATCATCATTAACTGGGTTAAAGCTAATAAACTATCATTTGTTTTACACATTTTCTCCTAACATGGCGTGAACCGATGCTCAATTCCCGAGTTGGGTATAACAGTCAGAAACCATTTCCCAATGTTTTCTACATGAGAGTCAATAGTTCACTGACATAAAAGACATACTGCATTCATATTCATTCGCCGTTGGTTCAGAAAATTGCTCTTTATACCTTCCAACAGCATAACTATGACTAAAACAGTTCTAAAATCTCTGTGGAAATAAAAATATAGTCCTCACAATCAATAGGTATGATGCATAGCAACCGTATTACAAACCTAAGACACTGCACCGAAAAACCAAGCTTTCACGTCAACATCCAAAGTCTCATTCTAAGTGCAAGAAACGTCGCGAAGAAACCGAGTTCAATGCGATCAACCTACTGAATTCTTCTGCGTGTTGTACAAGGTTTCCCTAAGTTGTATAGAGTCAACTATTATGTTCCAGTGATATCAAAAGAAGTATATGTTGTGCTGTCAAATAAAAACGAGCTATTGCGAAGTATAAACATTAATCATCGGTATCTCTTAACAATTATATAGCCGAAAGCTTCCCTGGTTAAATATGAGTTTTTCGTTAAATGCACTTGTTAGGCCTCCGGTAGACAGCAAGATATAAGTATGAGACGAAATGAGACACGAACAGACACATGACTTCAACTACTCAGAAAAGTAAGCAAGCATGATTGGAAGTGTACCTGAGACCTTCATTGATAAACATCATAGCCAGTGCAAGAGAAATAAAAGAAGACGCCTTTGTCGATGAAAAGTGATGCATAACAACTGCATTAGCGAGTCCGCAGCGTATAGGCGCATCGGAAAATCGATTTCAGTTGTAAGTGGACACTCAGTAAATAGACGCATGAGTGCAAATCTCAGCACGAAACTTCACCGTCTGTTCGGGTGCTTGCGTCCCATAATAAGTGTGAAGTCCCTACATTGAAGTAGTTGTCCACTTTATGTTTCTTGGAGTGTTGTAATCACTGCATAGTACTAAATGGTACATCTTGTAGTGGAGCAATTTTCAAAACACCCAACCATGATATCACAAAATTAACTCTCAACTTCAGACCTTATAAACCCCATCTGTGAAGCTTTCGACCGGGTAAGTGATAGTGTATGTTTCCATAGGGATAAATCAACCATTGTGTAGTGATTTATGAACTCTTGTGTTGTCATAGCACTGAATATTCGATTATTAATCAGCAAATTGGTACGGTGACTATCCTAACAGAGGTAAATTATAGCAACAGGCTGTTGGAAACGCTTTCCACAACTCATAAATGAAATATCTGAGCCAAATAGAAGCTCTGACATGACGCTGTTATAAAAATTCAGAAATTTTCCTCCTGTCAAGTACTGTATATCTTCACACCGGTTTTGCAGCTATATCTTGCATTCCCAACCCTGACTGGTTTTGACCTCCTCATCTGTGCTGCCTGTGATTGAGTCGATGCTGTCTGATCAGGCGGGTGAAGAGGACGGTTTCCTTCAGATTCATCTCACTGATGGTTATTGGTGTTTGTTGTCTTGTATTCCCTGTGTTCACCTGAAGTCTTACCTTCCCTGCCTCTTCTTTCGACTTATTTGCTTGATGTTGTATATCCTCGAGTCTACGCTGCATGTAATACAAATCTTTTACGAAGTCCAGGCTTTCTAGGACCTTTTCTCCAGTCAAATTAATGCCAATCTTCTTACTTCACATGGTCTGTAAGATGATCCAGTCATCCACAAGCAGGAAGATCATTAACGATGGTAGGCAGCCTTGTATTACTCTTACCTTCATTTCCAAGACTCCAGTGAAATTAACGTTGAGAATTACCTGGCATGTGGCATGATTGTATAGTTTTCGAATGGTGTTTATAAGTGTTTGCGGAACTGCGCAATGTTGAGACAGCCACCAAATTACTGTTCAGCCACTGCAACACTATGACGAGCATTAACGTCCGATCGGCCCTATAAATTTTACGCAAAAAAATCTATTTCCTTCCTCTAAAAACGGAAAATTCCAAGCGAAGCAAGTAAGATTGGAAAGGATTTCTAACAGGTTGCAGACTTTTATCAACGACTGCCTTCGCTCCATACCAAAGATCAAATGATCAAAAAGAATAAGTAACAAGAAACTATGGCAACAAACCAACCAAAAGCCAATCTCTCAATAAGTATGTGGGACAAAATGGAGATGGGTCGGGCATACACTGTGGAGGCCGTCGAATGACATCGCGCGCAGTGCAGGCCATTGGTCAAGTGGAATCCCAGTGGGAAGCGACGAGTGGGTCTTCTTAGGGTGACTTGGAGGAAATCGTCCGAATAAGAGATGAGAGATTATGGGCAATTGTAGACCCATTTGAAGAGGACTATCGAATATCAAAGCCCAGGGAAAATCATGCAAGTCGCATTCCTATCTTCAACTAAATATCCTCCCTGCTGCCTGAAAGTAGGAACCACTAACCGTGGATCATTGATTTTTCCACAGACTGATTAAGGCTGTTTCTGATCGTCCAGTTATTTGGGTTATCAATAAGACAGGGTAATATGAAACCAAAGATGGTTCATAGGGGGACACAACACAAGCACTAAGTCTTATGTCACTGCAGGAAATGTGGGAAACTCTGAATTGGGAATTGTACCAGTATCTGTAAAATCGGCGGGTTTTCAATCTGGGTCGTTACGGGTCTAAAAAAATGTACATATTACTGCTGTGATTATAATTTATCGTCATTGTCTCTTATGAATTCCACAAGATAATGGCTAACAGCCACTTGTTGTGCAGATGAAGACCTTAGTTTTCGGTGAGTAATTTTCACAGTTTAGCAGTATTTGTCACGGATACTGATAATCCTGATTTTGATATGTTCACGGGGAAGGTAAATATGTTAAGCATTATATGACACACTCGTGAAGTATGCAAGGATTTAATCGAAACCAAAATCTCTTGAAACTGTTGATTCCCATAGGTGTACACCAGAACAAGCGTATACCTATTTATCAACGTCCTTTCATACCTGCTGCAATCTCTACTTCAAGCAGATAAGATTTGATAAAGATTAATAGGCTAACAAAAGGAGTACTGTGAGATAGACACATACGAGTCTTATCGGCGTTTACTGGGTTGTTTTGAGCGACCATTGTCATTTTAAGATCATAAGACTCATCCAGAGAACAAGTCAATGGACAGAAGTTTGATTCAGTTCCCCAGAAACCAGCTTATACGAAGCCTGTATCAGACACCGAGAAACCACAATGCTGTTTTTACCCTTGGAGACATTTCCAAAATTTTAACCACGAAACCTTTCTGATCAGCAAAGTGTTGATGTAAAGGACTTGTAGTTATAGCTAACGACGGAAATGTATGAAGTACCATTGGTCTACAAGTGTTTGGAGAGCTTCCTTTTTCGAAAATTATCTGACTTATTTTGAAGTGATGCTACCATGTTGATAAAGGAGTTACCTTTTTTATGCTGTGTTGCTTGGTATGGTGTAATTGTGAGCTACAGGAGTGCTTGTGATATTTTCGTGAGAAACTGAGTTAATTAGCTTGTACATTTCTTACTAATATATCCCGAACAATTTTCTTATCTTGGCGCAAATGATTCATTGATTTTCTTATTGGATTAGCCACTATAAAATCGTAGTTACAAGGTTTGCAGGAAATTACAGCGTTGAAACCGATTACAAACTGGTATTTGTACTGTAACCCCTGTGCTTCTATTTCCAAGTGTTTCATATAAAGTGTCATATAAATTGCACCAACTTTTCATTGGTATTTTGTCTGAGTTTCACGAAGTGTAAAAAAATTCTAGCCAAGATATCATGGAAATAAATCCTTCGGAAAAATATAATTGGAGATTTTTTGGAATCTAGCTAGTTCTTGTAAAACATTACCTTATAATATTAGTGATAGACAACTGATGAAAAGGCGTGGGTTTATGGTTGACCATGCTATTGAAGACATCCTCTGCTGTTATGTTGCATCCGTAGGTTTGCTGACAATGGGTACACAAACAAATTTACAACTGCTTTCATCCTTTCAAGTTTATATCAGAACAACATTTTTGTAAACTCCAACCGTTAGCCACACATACCGGCTGTTCGACTAGATTTTTATGCTAGTATTCAAGTTTGATAACTTATGCTGTTACTTAAGTATAACTTAAAATTATTCGCGAATACTTTGGTCTTTTTATCTGTGGAGTTTGTACAAACAAGTTGTAAGAGATTTCTTAATTGTATTAATGAATCAAGTTTCTATTGTATTTTAGAGACCAGTGTTTTGATGGATTACATAGATGCATATATCAAAGATATCTACGAATGGGTAGTTAAGCTTTAAACTGAGATATACTAGATACTTTTGTTATTGTGTTGATGTTTCGGTGTAATACGTCACTCAGTCTAATCATTCTCTCACTAAATTTATAGGAACGTCATTTGCCTGATAGACGTCTATTTTTCAGTTTCTATTATGAGTTTACGTAGCAAGTAATTATAGCTAATCGTGTTTTATATTTCTTTATATGAATTGAGTTTTTTAATCTCTTAAATAGGATCAATGAATTGGCGTTATAAGAATTTCTGGCAATTTTATTCTTATCAGTTTTGATCATCCAAAGATGTTTAATCAGACAGCTGTAGACTCATCTTTGAGTGGAATTTCTGTGTCGTCAACTGTCGATCGACCCTTTAATCCATTCTCAAATAGTTTGGATACACAACCAGGTGCATTACTTTCTGAACTACTATCGGATTGTACACCATCTGGCGATTGTCTTATCTCAGGAAATTTACAAGCCAATGATCAAGACAATATTTCATTATATGGTGTTACATCCTCCATTAGTAACAATAACAATATGATTACTAGTGATACTACAAATGGGATTTATATACCAATGAATTCTAATTCACATGATTGTTATCAGAAGAGTTCTACAGAGGAGTTAAAATCCGGTAAAAAAACGTTTCATAACTTTTATCATACCTAATTTTTGTTAGAAATGCATCTTTGTTTATCAAGTGGCTACTGTTTATATCTCTTTTGGTCACTTCATTTTATGGACCAGTCAATCAGGTACTTAGGTTCGACAGAGTCTGCAAAGACTCATTGGCGCTACGCACCCACAGGGGTTCGAACCTAGAACCCTCCGGTTACAAGACGAACTCGTAGACCATTCAGCCGCTGGGACTCGACTCAGTGGTCCATGGTCAGACTAAAATCATGAATTGGTAGAAGTTAGAATTCATAGACCACTGAGTCAGGTCCCGGTGGCTGAGTGGTCTGTGGGTTTTCCTTCTAACTGAAAACTCCTGGGTTAGAACCCTGGGGGTGGGTGCGTACTGGCGATGAGTTGCAAACTAGGACGAGACAGCAGCCCAGTACTTCCTGCTTTTTCATAGTAAAACAAACAATGGTAGTTATTGTTACTCCCTTGATTTCTGGGTGGAACATAGGGCTACAACAGCACATCTTCGTTTTGTCCTGTTCTCTGAAGTTATATTTAGCTTGTCCCATAATTACCCATAAGCTTTCATCTCCCCCTCACACTATTTCCTCCATGTCACCCTCAGACACTCAGCTCGTCGTTACCCATTCAGGTTCCACTCGGGCGATGGAGTGACGTGCGATCTCACAAACAGTCTCCTCGTAGTATGTCCAATCCACCTCCATTTCTTTCTGCATATTTTTCAGGCATTAGGTTCTACAGCCGTTTGTTAGGAATGCTTTTCGTGACGTGCTGGCCAAGTTTCTGAGTCATATAGAATTGATTGACTCGGCATAGGTGTTGAAAACCCGAAAATTGTTGTTAATGCTGAGTACAAAAGATTTCCAAAGTGATTTCACAGTGATGAAGGTCTGTGCCTTTCCAATTCTGGCTTTGACATCCTCATCCGTGTGGCGTACCTGTAGTAACCGATGCCTAAATAGGTGTAAGTGGTAACCTCTTTCACAATCCTTCCGTGATAGTGATGGTGCTTGTTGTTGTTGTTGGTTATTTTCATCACCGCTGTCTTCTCTACGTTCACTTAGAATCTTATCTTTGATAAAACAACAAGCAAATAATAACTAACAATCATAATTTTTTTTTAAAGAAAAGGAATGGAAGCGGTTGAGAACTTCATATATTTTACTGCCATTATTTATTGAATCAAACACACTGACCTAATACACAATAAAAGTATCGTCTTATCTATTATAATAATTATAGTAAAAAGTAAAATAGTTATTTCTATTAATCCTGATATACAGTTTTCTAATCTATGAAAGTTCACATCTTTCAGTCTTTAATCTTAGCGGTTTCATTTTAATATTTCGGCTGTTTCTTTGATAGGCATATTATTTTTCATCGTAATAGATAACCTTGAAGTAGTGGTCAGATGTAATGTAAAATTATTTTTCAGTTGTATACTCAGTACTGTTCATTTCGTTTTAGCCTTCTCTCTCTCTCTCTCTCTCTCTCTATATATATTTTTTTTTTTGATTTTTTTTGATTTACAGCTTGATTCCACACTGTATTTTTGTACAAGTATGGAATTTTCAGCATGGATATCGGTAGCCCAAATTTCGCAGGCCGACCATAGATATCAGGTGTGCGCCGGCGTGGGCTCGAACCCCGGACCATGTGCATGGTCGACGAGAGTCCTAACCATTGTGTATATATATATATATATATATATATATATATATATATTGAGGGGTGTGTTCATAGCACTCGTCATGTGAGCAGTTCTTTTGAGTGGTGGTTCAGATGGTTAACAGAGTCTTTTCCAAACGAGAAATAATCAGTTGATCAATTGGCAGTCTTTGTGGTATTTGGTTTTCTAATCAATCTGTGGTATATTGTACTAGCTGAGGTAATCTGATTGATTCAGGATATAAGATAAATCTGTGAACTGTATAGAAGTGTGTAGACTTTCTTTGGATTATATGCGACAAGTTAGTGGTTGAATACGATGTTTGATGTGACTCGAAATGGATCGTAATCAAGAGGCTATATTCATCATTTCTTTTTTACACTTACGCAGTTCACTTTTATATTCCTCTTCGTAAAGTTTTTGTTTCGTTAAACAAGAGCGCTTAAGTTTATGCACTATTGTGCTAGCAATTGTTTTTGATTTTCCGTGGGTCATTGATATTGGATTTTCAGTTGGTGAGTGGGCTACGGGTTCGAGACCTGCCTAGCTGTTTCAGCTTGCACCAGTAGGTAGTATTACCAGTTTCTACACGATAAATATAACTCATAGCCTGTTACTTACAAGATCTGTTCCGGGTAATTGTTTGGTTGTGAATGGAATGCCAACCAGGTGACAGCCTGTGGAGATTTGTCGTATGAAGTGGTGTTCGTCAGGGATGCCCATTGTCCCCATCTCTGTTTAATTTCATCATGGATGTACCAATGGAATTAATCCTAACTGACTTCAGCGACTCAGGGATTGACTCGCTACCAACAAATAGCCTCATTGACTTTGAATATGCAGATGGTATAGTCCTTCTAGGTGAGGACGCCGAAAAAATGCAGTCTTCTAAACACCTTGACAGGAAACAGTCTTCGAATGTTTGGCATGCGATTCGCTCCCGCCAAATGTAAGATGATGATAGGGAGTGAAATGGTAGAGCACGTTGACCTTTTCACTCATTTGGGGAGTTGCATCAGCGAGTGCTGGTGGGTTGATCGCTGACGAAACTCAGCACGGATCTAGAAGGCTCGTTTCGCATATGCCAGCTTACTCCATCTCTCGCGTAGATGGGATATCCGGCTGTTGGCCAAAGGGCGTGTGTACTGCTTATCAGTTCTGTCTGTCCTCCCTTGTGGCTGGCTATAAGACATCGCCTTTGAAAGTGGAAGACATGAAAAGGCTAGCTGTCTTTGATCATATTGGTCTGCGTCCCATCTCTCGTGTTAGATGGTATAACAAGGTGAGTAATATTGAGGTTGTGCGTCGAGTGCTAGGTAGGTGGGAGGGGAAATCAATAAATGAGGCTGTGAAGTTACATCAATTCAGATGGTTAGGACATGTGTTACGCCTCCAAAGCCTCAGGATGGTCGGGGGTGGGTGTCTTGCGCTGATTGCTAATCCTATGAATTGGCTTAATCTTATATGGGTAGATGGAAGTGGTGTATACCTATACAAATATTTTAAAACAGAATGAAAGATACCAGGTTTCATTGAAGATATTTATCGAAAACAAAGGTTTCGTTACAAGTTGACATGAGTTAGAGAACCATTGGAAAGTCTGAGAATCATCGGCAGTACTCACCCACCGCTAGGATTCGAACCCAGGACCTTCTGGTTACAAGGGAAGCTCGTATACCATTCAGTCACTGGTACTCGATTCAATTGCCCATGAATTCTAACTTCGTCCTGGGTTCGAACCATGGCAGTGGTTGCATACTGCCGATGATTCCCAAACTAGGACGAAATAGTTGTCCAGTTCTCCCTCGTTTTCAATGGTTCTTTAACTGATATCAATTTATGGTCAAACTTGTATAAACAAATCTGATCCTTTTCAAGTATTGGTTTAGTTGGGATTTTTTTGTTTGATTGGTTGGAGGATTTCATCATGAGCTGACATCAGTTAAGAGAACGGTTGGAAAACCAACAAGGAGTGCTGGACAGCTGTTTCTAATCCTTACAAACCAAATTGTTCAAAAAGTAAGCATTTTTGTTTTAATCGTATTAAAAGATAACGTATGTCAATAATTCAGTAATCCACTAAAACATTTTAGAGATTTTAGCGACCCGAACTACTGTAATTCTGTGTAAAATTCTATGTTGTGGAACTCAATCAGTCACTCATAATAGATGTAAGATAGTATGTACCCTCCTGGAGTTTCGCTTGCTTTCTTGATTGATTAACTAGACCACATATTGTGTCTTGAATATACATATTTTGACTCTCCATTGGAACAGTGAAATTTGTAAATGATGAATTCGAATGTTAACTTTTTTTTAAAAAATATTACTGCTGTTTTTAATTAGTTGATATTATCGCCAATATTGATACGAATCCTAATACCTCAGAAGAAATAAACACATATATTTCGATTATAGGTTTTTGGTAAGGCGATGGGAATTGACCTTGTAATCATAAGGCCTCAGATTCGACCCTCAAGGGGGTCGTGGGAGCTCACTGTGCGTCGGTAGCACAGTGGTTAGGACTCTCGTCGACCATGCACATGGTCCGAGGTTCGAGCCCTGGCCGACGCACACCTGATATCTATGGTCGGCCTGCGAAATTTGGGCTACCGATATCCATGCTGAAAATTCCATACCTGTACCAAAAATACGGTGTGGAATCAAGCTGCAATAAAAAATAAAATAAAATCACTGCTGATTAGTCCCAAACTAGGACAAAACAAATGTCCAGTGCTCCCTGGTTCTTAATGATCCCCCAGGTGATATTTATTTTTTATTGTATTCTTTTGTGTTCCGAGATGAACATACAGTTTCATTGGCAATGTCTTTTTTTGACCGGGTGGAGTTACTAGTGTAACACATCCAACCTAACCTCTTAACTGGGTGTGTGTTGTCTGGGGATCAAACCCGAAACCACATGTGTGGTTGGCGAATAATCAACCACTGAACCACCGATGTACTATCTAAATAGTAAAAAAAAAAGGTTATTCAATAATCAACTCGTTTTCCTTCAAGTTTCTTCTTTTATTTCTTCTTTAACCTTAAGGTTTCTTTTATTACCAATGATGACCACTGTCTGATATTCATGTCTCATTGTGTTTTGTTACAGGTCAACCTGTCTGTCTGCCTATCTATTGAACCAACCGGTTTTTGTGTGCTCTGAATTTTTATCTCTCTCTCTCCCCCTCTATTTTTACCCTTTTCGTACTATTAAAATGGTGTAAGCTTTAGTCGATAGTAGTAGTAATAGTAATAACCTTCATATATGCATATTAAGTGCATGTCTCATCTAGCTAAAGGTCAAAAGACAAGCA